ACTCTGAAGAGTGATTCCAACGTATGTTGTAGAGAATATTGTTAACAATTTTAATAATCTTTCTTAAAGGTGGGTAGTTCTCCCACCTGATGCTATCTCAAGTGAATAAATGTATTGGAGACAGTTCACACAAGTCACAGTTTCTGCCTCGTGGATTTGTTAACCTTACTTATTAACTTTGACGAGCTTGATGGCGCAGGTGGTTAGCGCGTTCGGCTGTGATCGTTGAAGTTAAGCAGCTTTCACAGTGGTCGGTCATTGGATGGGTGACCAAAAATCTTCTATCTCGAGTTCCTACGTACTTCGGAAGGCACGTTAAGCCGTTGGTCCTGCCTGCATCTGTAGTCGTTAGCACCCGCCAATCCGCAGTCAGGACCAATCTCCCTATTCCATACATAGGGAAGGCATGAGCCCCAGCAATAGGGATATTAATTGGCTGATGATGACTTATTTACTGCAAAAAACAGTGTAGTTTTCTGCAGTAAATAAGACATCTGGTTAGTCGCTTGTGGTCCACTTGGCTAGTTAGGTGATGTTGTGAATGGGGTAGCACAGGATCGTTTAGAATTCAATGGGTACGGTTTGTTCGCAAATTGGTTGGAATGTGTGATGTTGTTGTTTATCATGGGATATAATAAAGCATTTTCCTTACCATTATCGAAAAAATGGTGAAGGATACTGCGACTGGTCGCCTGTTCCAACAAGCAGGGGTTTGAGGTCGCTTTAGATTTGTATTGTGTTCAAGCGCCTACTAAATCGCTGCAGCAAACACGCGCCAACATGACAAGTTTACCAAACAGCCAGGATCAAAATTCATTCATATTCGACTGCGGTACACGACGAACGTTACCTAACATTTTATAAATATTTTATTTGATTGTTATGAAAAATATAAGTTTTAAATCTGCAAGTTTGTTTTAAATATCTCCGAAACCGGCGAGAGCTGGAACAATTGTATTGTATCGATCTCCTTTCGCATTTCTAATTCAATATAATATGTTGATATACACAACATGGCAGGTTTATTTAAAGCTTTGATAAATATAAAAACTTTTCGCATCACTCTTGCCATTCCGTCGGTCCGGCAAAGGTTTAAAAATTTAGGTGACTGAAAACTTAAATAGGGACCTACCTTAGGTTCTTACATAAGCATCCAATCTTCAAGTGTCTATAGTTTAAAAATATTGCAAGTCAACGTTTTAAGAGAAAGAGCAGAGAAGATTATTTGCTCGTTTTATTGAGTAAATTTCGTAAAGCTATTAATACAACTGGAGATCAATATCCGCTATTACAATATGTTACCTACAAACAGTACTACACTCAATTTCCTAATGAAAATGACCTTCATTTATAACTCTGTCAGAAATGAATACTTATACTGATAAGTATTTACCTACTGAGGTACTACAGTAAGAAACCTTTTAAAACCGACTTCAAAATCGAAAATGGAACTGTTTCGATATTAACCCCGCCCGACTTCCAAATCATGAACCAGATCTTATTTTGTACTTTTTAGTTCCATTTTCGAATTTGAAGTCGGTTTTATTTATTGGTTAATTTTTTTTTATTTCATCCATTTTAGTGAAAACTGCATCGTCCAAGTAAACAATAACACAGTTGGTGGAGAAATCGGTGAACATGCATTAAAAAACATCGTGCTTGCCTTTGAAATTTGAAGGTTTCCCTCGATTTCCCCGGATTCCACTATCAGATCCTGACTTGGTTCCAATGGGACCACCTCGGAAAGTTGAAGTCGGTTAAAATGCAAGACATAATCGAGATCAAGACTTGTACTAATGACATGACATTAGACATTCTTGGTCATACAAAAAAAATAGCCAAGTGCGAGTTTTGACAACTAAGTGTTGATCTTTACTTGAGTACAGTTAGAAAGCGATGTCGCTATGTGCTATATATAGCGACATCCCTTTCTATGCTCAAGACTAGATTTATTCCTTCTGAATTCTGTCGAACGCGCGCGAATTCGCGGGTCTTTATTATAATCACAAAATCATCGTTCATGTAGTCTTTATTTTGATCACAAAAGGAATATTATGTACATTACGTTGCGGAGATAATTCGATTTGATGAGTTTCGTCTCTGCGCTAATAAGACTTGTCCATAAGACCATGGAACAAATCGAAGTATTTGCACTTCTTTGTTCCATGGTATAAGACCCACGCTACGCCGTTTTATTTAATATAGAAATTAAATACATTTTTTGATGTGTGGAAGTTTTGTTGCACAATTTGTATCAGCACATGTGTGACATATTGTGACGTCGCAGGAAACGAGAACATCGATGGTGTTGAACAGACAGACATGTGTGGCTGTCGTTGCTTACGAAACGGAGGAGAAATCTCACTTTTGTACTCTCATCTCAGGATAATAAATAGTGCTTTTAGATATTATTTTGAGAACTCAGACTGATGTCACATTTGTTATAGGAAAATAATAAATAAATAAATATTTTCAACACTCACACCAATTAGCCTAACCCCAAAGTAAGCACTGTAAGGCTTGTGTTATGGGGATACTAGGGTAACGGATAGAATACATATACTAATACATACATAAGTATATTTATATAGAAAATATATTAAACATCCATGACTGGAATACAAATGCTTGTGTTCATCATACAAACATCTGCCCCCACCGGGACTCGAACCCGGGACCTCTCGAGTCGGCGACACCATGAAACCCGGCGTACAAACCACTCGTCCACTGAGGTCGTCTTCTCGGGAAATTCGTCGGGAAAATCTATGTTATTGCTAAGTATGTTATAAAGATGATAGTTAAAAAAATTAGAGAAGTTCAATGGCGCAAGGAGTTAGCGTGGTTGACTGCAAACGTTGAAGTTAAGCAACCACTGCGAAACACTGGACCATCATTGGATGGATGACCAAAAAAATTACTATCATAAGCTCCTTCGTGCTAACGTTTAGCTGTTGGTCCCGGCTGTATCTGCAGTCATTCATGGCCTAATCTCCCTATTTCATCCATAGGGATGGCCTGTGCCCCAGCAGTGGAAACATTAATTGGCTGATGATGTAATATGACAGCATAAGTTATTGTTAAATTAATACATACTCACCCCACTACATAAATGATGAAATGAGTTCAAGTAATCAAATGGAGATTAATTATTTTGTAAATACAAGTGGGATCTTGTGCGAGACAAAAAATACTTTAGAAATAAGTATATTTTTTCTGACTTTCAGGGTTTCTCTATAATTAACTTGAGTTGACTAGGTACCTACCTAATGTATGTAATGTACTAATTTAAGGAATAAATGAATATGAATATAATTTGACTAATTATTTCAGTTTGTATGTTGTGGTTCACTTACTTAGTCCAGGGTACCCCTGTACCCACATTCATCACACAAAGCATTGTCATGCTAAAAGATTTAAATTCAGGACCTTTTTGCAATATAAACAATTTAATAAACAATCAACAGAATTATCAAAATTTAATTGACTTTGCTAGTGGAGAAGCAGAGGATTTCTGGATCAGGGCAAGCTGAAAAAAGTATATGAAAGAAATATTACCCATGTTAGTGCCAATTATTATGCTGTATAAATTCTAAGATCAGCCATTCATTATTATTCATAAGAGACAAAATATGTATCATCATCATCATCATCAGCCTATTAATATCCCCACTGCTGCGGCACAGGCCTTCCCTATGGATGGATTAGGGAGATTAGGCCATGAATCACAATGCGGGCCCAGTGCGGGTTGGTGGGTGCTAACAACTGCAGATGCAGCCGGGACCAACGGCTTAACGTACCTTCAGAAGTATGGAGGAGCTCGACATAGTAAATTTTTGGTCACCCATCCAATGCCCGATCACGCATAATAGAAAAGAATCCCGCTTTTACCACTGTTTTGTTTTTGGGGATTAACTTTTATTGTAGAAAGTCCTAATGTTATTATGAACATCAACAGATGGCATCAACTTCAAAGAAAATCATGTAGCATTCTCTCACTTATATTATGAGACATTCAAAACTGATAATTTTGTAAGCCAGAAACATCTTGAGGCATAGTACACTTTGGGACACATCTATCTGCCGACTTTGTGTTATAAGTTTCAGAGGTCTGTACCAAAAATTTAATTAAGTTTGATATAAAAGATGCTTATTAAATGAACTTTCTGCTCAATGTGACATTTATTTTGCACTAGGGACCACTAGATCGCTAATAGATCAGGAGTATAGCTTTTATTTGCAGTATTAATCTTCGTTCAGAAACTGATAATTTGGAATTAAGTAGAGGTGTTCTTTTGTTTTCAGTAAACAATTACAGCATCAATATTTTTTGAAACTGCGTTGCTGATAGATATTTTTTTTACTAACAGCCCAGGAAAAGGCTTATATTCAGCATAAAAATGATCCATATTTTAAAAATGAATAAAGTTACTTATTCTTATTATATTAATAGTGATCTGACAACCTCCGTGGCTGAGTGGTATGTAAGCTGGGTTTCAAGGTGTCACTAAATCGAGAGGCCCCGGGTTTGAATCCAAGTGGGGGCAATGTTTGTGTGATGAATATGAGAATTATATCTCCAAGGAAGTGCGACAAATGCCCAAACTTCTCAATATAGAATTTAAACATTAGCATCATCAGTATAGAACCTTGAAAATAGAAGGGGACTGTCCCTCCTAGTAAACATATGTTGGAACTCCTAGGAGTACAAAAAAAGTGTTTTCCAATTGTGTAGTTATATTCAGGTTATTGAGAATTATGCACTTGTATTAATAACTGTCTAAAATCTGCTTTTATCAATTATGAAATGATTGCTACCTTTCAGTATGTTAGTAATTTTTCAGTATTTATTAAACAATTGAATAGTGTTTAGCATTTAAATGAAAAATTGGTTAGCTTTTGTATATTATGTATTTTGAAATTGCTCACAAAGCCAAATTAAATTTACATAAATACAATTTATTGATAACTTTTATACAAGACGTAAATAGTACATAAAGATCCACAGTGAAATCATTAAGGTGTTGCTTATTCAGTGAAAAAAAAAATGCTAAATATTTTTACATACTATTAAGAATTAAATTAATATTCAGAAACACTAGAGATCAGCAGTTAACTGATATAAAAAAGCACATCTGCACTCAATCAAAGGGTGTTGACAAAATGCTTACAAAGACATCCAACTTTGTGACGGTACACACTATCCTTTGTATAAAATTAACCAAATTTGTAACCATGAAATATATACATTTAAGTCTCCAGATATTTTATATATTTGCTATTTTAATGATAGTAAAAAAATATGCATACCTAATTACTGTAATGAAGCTACATGTGAATGGTTAAACAATGATCTGTCGGAGATCATCGCTGCGTCTGCTCCAAGACAAGTAAGGGGCGAGGCTACATAGAAATGCAGGGGGGGGCCCTGGCGGCGTGGACGGCCGCCGTTCAAGACCACTGACGCCCACTAATAATAAAAATTTATCCACAATTGTCTCTTCACAAGTTACTTGATCTAAGGTGTTTAACATAACTTGCACTCTTAAAATCATGATATCTGTTAGTTTCTTGTTGCACCTCTAGTCGCACGCGTGGGAGAGGCACTGATGGCTGTGTGCAGGGCAGCACGGGCGCTCAGTTGTCCATCGCGTACCTTCGTGTCCACTCCTTGGCGTTTCTAATTGCTTCTCCTTCATTAACCTTCCAGAGTTCAGCCACGTCGTTTGCAAGAGGGTCGTCCGGATTCGGCGCCGACAATAACGCTTGAATAGACAACAGCACCGTGCGGATCTGAAGCGCAGGGCTCCATTTGTCTTTCAATATGTCCAAGCATATACGACCGAGCCGATCTATGTTCGGATGGTATATTTTCGTTATAAACCTAACCTTAGGCGCTGACATGGGATAGTCCTCTGGTAGAAATAATTCTAATTTAAATAGTCCACCCTCAAATGGCGAGTCTTCTGGGCCAGTGACGATCACATGGAAGTAACGTGCATTAGTCTCACTGGGCACCGCGCTTATTCCTGGCACAGGCTCCTGCATAAGTCGCTGTGTCTCTTTGATTATTCTACGTGGTAGGGCTGCCATTTTAAATATGCGGTCTAGCGCAATTTGTCAAATGAAAGCAAGTAATCATATAACTGTACAAAATATCTAAGAGTCCTTTCACTGCACGTTTTAGGATAAATCTAGAGGCACGTTTTCTTAATTACAATAGTATTTTATCCATGATATTACTGAAACGCGACTACAAAAGCGAAGGTACTTTTATTTAACCATAGACAAAACATTTGCAGCAGTATAGAGAACACGTGCAGTATAGACTTGGATACGTTCATGTAAAGGTTTTTTTTATTTCGATAAATACCGGTTTTTTTTAAATAATAAATTGTTTCAGTACTTGAAAACGTAAACATTCATTATGCATTAAAACTTACGCATAATTGCTTAATATTTACTTAAATACGTAATTATTACGTTGATGAAAAGTTTTTAATCCTTTTAATTTTTTGTGTTGCTGTTTCGTGTGACAGAACCTTTAAAGAGAATTTTCTCTGTGGCTGCTTTTAAAGGTTCAAACAAATTTCAAGACACGTCCGTCAGTTTGTTGCGTTGCGGCGTATGGACGCGGCTTACAGACGGACTGTATTTCATGGTAGGTATTTGTGTTTAATTCATAATAACCATAACAGTAGATAAAAATGTAATAAATTATTAGCTAACATGAATCATATTTTAATTTATCTTAAAGCAGAATAAAATTTTACTAATCTACTATACTATAATATATTTCATTGGCGAGCCTCAAGCGATTGTCCACTAAGAATTTAACAAGTCAGAGAAGGAAATGATGCAGCCCGCCAGACCAATGTTGGTCATCATATATCATTATGTTAGTTACTGAGCTTTGGAATCAATTATGTAGTGTTTATACGGCTTAGCGCCTTTACTGTTGTCGATTTTTCGTCGAGTACTGTAGGCCTGTAGCGCCATCTGTCGACACAAAGTATAAAGTTTAGTTATATGTCGGGCGTATAGATGTCGCAACCTCATTTTCGGCGACAATTCAGCTATATAGTGGTTCGATTAGAAGTCAAATATTTGCATTTCGATTGTCTGTTACATAGACTATGTTTACAAATTAACCTTCGATAACCCATTGGGACGTCACGGTCATATCTTTTAGCTATATAACTAATGTAATTTTGAGTTAACAAGTTAACGAATTAAGTACCGTAATCTAGGGAGTCTAACAACTGTGAGGTGGATAGCAACATTTTAGAAAAAAAAATACAGACCTCCTACATGTGTTGTTAAGCTGTACTAATTGAAAGAAAAGTTTTTCTAGGCTTTTGAACGAATTATTTTTTTTTGTATCAGCAACATTTCGTTTGCTGCTGCTGTCATTTAATGTCAGTTCAGTTTTCAAATAAACACTTGTTGAGGACGAAATTCAATGAAAACAAATTAAATATAAGAAACACTTAAAAAAAAACTACAGAAAATTTTTACTAGAAAAAATATCACTCGGTCCTTGCATCAGACCGGATAGCGTAAGATGCGGGTTCAAATCCCATCTGACGCTTGGTAGGGTTGCCAGATTGAGAATTCAATTTTGATAACATCTGGCAACCATCTGCTTGACCTAGTTTTGTTCTTGTACATTTTTTTTAGATTTATAAATCTAGCAATGAAATGTTTAAAAAAATAATATGAATGGTTTAATTTGATACTGTTGACGAATAAGACCTTGGTATATTCTTTTCTGAATGTTTTCAAAACGACATCCTTTTATTAGCTGTTAAGGTAAAGGACCACGACGGTTGAACTTATGTATTTTTACAAACGGACTCTTTAAGTGATTAATCTCTTTTCGGTCCCACGTATATGTAAACAATCGAAATAGACTTAATAGTAGAGGGCTCATAATTACAGTATACTATAATTATTATTAATGTTCATGATTTAATTTTTCATTTGTATTCAAACATTTTGAAAGTATAAGTATATTTTGGTTACATGGAAGACATATTAGTATTTAAGAAAAAAATATTAATTTGTTTCTTAAAAACAGTGATGTTCACACACTTAATACAAGAAACAAAAATAAACTAACTTTACCTGCTACTAAGCTTCACAAAATCAATAATTCATTGAAAGGTCTTTGTGTTCGCTTATACAATAAAGTCCCAAGCAATATCCAAGAGTTAACCATAAATAAATTCAAAGATAGTATAAAAAAAGCACTTATTAAAAAAGCTTATTACAAAGTGTCTGATTATATTACAGACAAAAATGCATGGGTTTGAACTGTTCCTATCATTCCAACAGGTTTTCTATATTAAATAAATCATGATTGTATTGACGTTGTAACACCATAATGATTTGTAAATGTTGTTACATTACGCTTTTAATGTTGTGGAGTTTTTTTCGCTCATTTTTCTCCGCAGCGTTCTGCCGATAATTTGAAGAAGTAGATAATACTTAAAATAGGAGTAATCCTAAGGGGTTTGGGGAGAACTCCAAATAAGATCTTAGATAGGAGTTTGGGGTAGTCAAAAGCCTCAGAAGCGATCCTACTGAGGAAAACTAAATCCGCAATTTCGCGACGCATCTCTAAAGGGAGAAGATGATGCTTTCTGCAGAACTCCGCTCGGGGAACTCCCCGTACCGACCGACTCATAATGGAAAACTCAGTGAAAGGCACTCCTAGTTTTATCAAAATAAATTATTCAATTCCTTAGTTCAAAATTTCAATAGGTAGTACCAGAAGTAAAGCTTTTAAAGTGATAAATTTTTATGGGAGGTTACACCGTCCGTTACGGAACGCTTTACGGCGCCAGTCTATAATGCGATTCAACTGAGAATAGGATCGACTGGGCGCCATTTTGTGATGTCATAGCTGTCAATTCAAACCAAATAGGTAGAGTGAGCAAAAAAAAGTTTTTATTTAATAAAACTTATATAGTAGGATTAAGTGAGAAAAAGCATCAGATTTTTTAGTAATATTTATTTACTAAGATTGAGAAAAAAACCCATCCATTTTAATATTTATTTATGAAGACTGTGAGAAAAAACATTAATCAGAATCTAGCTCTTCTATTCCGCTCATCTCTGCATTACCGCCGGAGTCGGAGTAGTTATGAATAATCATGCACTATTACTAGGTCACATACGAACATGCATCCTTTATATAAAGAAAGTTTGAAATCCAGTTTCTGAACGCTACTTAAAGTGACATTTGGTTGACGATTTAGGTTATCAACCATTCATGGCCAAAGCTCAATAAGTGAAAAAAAAATATCAACCGATATTAATTAACAATATTTGTTATTGTTTGTTTACAAATGTTTGGTTTTTATCCTTGAATTAGCGGAGTGCTAAAAAAGGGTTCCAAGATTTTTTTTGCAAACCGTACTTTTCAAGCGACATTTGACAGATAGAGGTCCTCGGCTTTCCTATTCTTATTTGAATCGCATTATAGCTTCCCTTCGCTGCGAGGGAGATAGACGCCACAGCCCGCCTCGATACCAGAGGGGTGTCCCCAGACCCTCACCCAACAATCCCTTATTATCATCCACCAATATGATAAGGGGCATCCTTTTCTCACTCGAATCCCCTTTTCACCCTCCAATCCCCTTTTCACCTACCAATCTTATGTACTCTTTTAGTTAAACCTTTTCATGATGTAGACTGCTGCTACGACTGTATACTTTAGTAGTAAGAGACGTTATAAGAGATTCACTAAGAGACTGGTGACCAAAAGGCTGGCAGTTATCTTGGTCAATGAATCAGCCTTGCCATTCAACGTGGCAATGCTGCCAGCCTATTGGGCACCATTCCTGACTGACTTATTTTTCATTTTGAAAATTAGATACTATTTATAAGTAGGTGAAGGTAATTTATATTTGAATTTTATACATTAAACTAGTTTTTTAAGTTGTTGTTATTTTATTTCTATATATTGTAATAATTTAGTAATTTTCATAGTATTGTATCCTATGGCATTATTCTCTGGGGAACAGCAGCCGGTATCGAAACGATATTTATTGTGGAAAAACGTGCGCTACGTTTACCGCTTCGTTACGTAACACGTTACGGCACCAGTCTGTATGGATTCCCTTTCTCTCACACATACGGCAGCGGTAGGCAGGCAGCTTGCCGCAGGCTTCTCCTTTCTCACCCTTACCCGCAGCGCCTGTTAGAATTGTCGAGACGTACCCGCTCTTTTTTAATGCGCTCTTAAAACATTTATAAAGGACTAAGTATAGGGAGGAGCTCGATGGCGCAAGTGGTTAGTGCATTCGGCTGCGATCGTTACACTTAAGCAACTTTCGCAGTGGTCGGTTATTGGATGGGTGACCAAAAATTACTATCTCGAACTCCTCCGTGCTTCGGAAGGCACGTTAAGCCGTTGGTCCCGGCTGCATCTGCAGTCGTTAGCACCCACCAATCCGCACTGGGCGCGCGTGGTGGGTCATGGCCCAATCTCCCTATTCCATTCATAGGGAAGGCCTGTGCCCCAGCAGTGGGGACATTAATAGGCTGATGATGATGATGATAGGGATGAAGATGAAGACGTGATAAAGTAAACAAAATTCAATTTAGTAGTAAATATAAGATTATCAAAAAATAATGGACACGTATTTTTTTGTCAATAAACCAAAACCGCATCAAAGTTTGGAAGTAAAAGCTCGTGACGTTAATTCTAAGTAAAAATTGTACCAAGCCGTATGCATGTGAAGTCATTAAACATTTCTAATCAATATAAGTACTTACATATTTCTGTAATGTTTTGACTGTGTGAATTAAAAAAAAACACTTGTCTCTTTGTAAATCTAGCCAAAGGAAAGGGAATTATTAATCATTCCCATTGTAGGTACTGAACTGACAAACAAACAATCGAAATAGACTTAATGGCAGAGGCAGTTTCACGGTTGAAAAACTCACCTTGCCGACATTGCAGCAAAACTGATTGCGTCTAATACGTCCCTGTCACGAGCAGAATCTATCGAAGAGTCTACACGCTACACGCCACTCCAGATAAAAGACCTCGTTTCGAGAAATGTCCCGCGACAATAAGAGACAGAGAGAAGACATTCGTCTATGTTTAGAAATTGTAAAAGCTTAACAAAAGAATAACCTGTTTTATATTTGAAGGTGTTTGTCTATCTTTATGAGAAGCGTATGATTTTACAGATTAATTTATAATTACATACTACGTAAGATAATTCAGATAATACAGTTCTGTAATCTGAGTGAAATACCTACACAACTTTTATATGCAACACA